AGCTGCGGCCTTGGGAGCTCACATACATCGTCCTTCATGTGCTCTTTCGGGGGTCTGAACTCCTCGTGATACGAGCGGCCACTCGCTGGGTGAATCAGCCTGAGACAGAAAAGAAGTGTCAGCAAAGCAGCCTGGTCAGGACAAGATCTCCTGAACCTGCCACTCATCAGCACAGAAACATCTGCCACAGCAACACCATTAGCCTTTCACTTGTAAGAAAATTCTCTCCAGTTATTTCTGTACCAAGGACCTCTTCAGTTTGGAAAAGCAGCTGCGCTGGGAGATGGAGAAGGGGAGTTTTACTTCCTGCTCTGCTGGGAAAGGGGTCTGGACAACAGTGCAAGAGAACACACTCCTGACCCTGCAGGAAGTTTACTGGTGTCCAAATGTATTCAGTGTCCTGTGCAAGGGAGCACTAAAAGCGTTGGAGGAGGAACTTAAAGTGTGAGCTGAGATTTTCTATAGAAATCCCCGATTTATAGGGCAAGGAAGGGGCTCTGCTCAAGGATGGCCCAGGCACAGGAGAACAGGCAAGGGATCAGGGCAGAAACCAGCATCACTGCCAGCCCTAAGCATCAGGAGGACAACCAGGGATCTGAAATTAGGATGCTCTTCCATAGACTAGGAAATCCCAACCCAAGCACTAGGAGAGAAGGATTACCGTCCAGTGATCCTCCGGATCAGCAAGGAGTCAGGGATGCTGAACTCAATGACGGAGTCAAGCTTCTCTCTCCTTTTCTCCAGGAGCTCATCCAGCTGCAACAGCAAACACCCACCTCAGAGGGGCTGAGGGAGCAGGGACCCCTGGTTTTGAGGGAAGGAGGTGCTGGAGCAGCCCCCCGAGCAGGGGCTCCCGTACCATCTCCGCCTGTTTCACCGTGCGTGGGAAGCCGTCCAGGAGGAACCCATTCTTGCAGGGAGGGGAGTCCAGGTTGTTCTCAATCAGCTCCACCACCATCTCATCACTCACCTGCAGAGATGAGACAGGTATGTTGTCAGGAAGGACACCCCGAATTTACACACAGCTGCTGCCCTTGTAGATAGGGGGGGATTTTTGGAGTTGTCCTGTGCAAGGCCAAGGGTTGGGCTTGATAATTAATGTGTCCTTCCAATGAAGGACAGTGATTCTATGATTCATGTCAATGCTCAGGCTGCCTGTTCAGACCTGCCCAGATCAGCGCAGCACTCCCTGCAACACCAGAACATGGGCAATGCCACATTTCACTCCAGGGACTCTCCAGCCTGAGCAGGGACTTGGACCAGCACTGTAACCTCACTGTTACAAAGGTTGCTGTATTGAAAGGAACACTGTCAGCTCAAACTCATTAGATTATTTTCTTAAAAAAATCCAAACTACAATACAAAATATCAACACAACCTTGATTTCCTGTTACTTTGTACCTTCACCTACACATCCCCCTGGGGAGGCAGGCCTGGGCAGGAAGGGCAGAGCGGGCGAGTTGCTCATTGACTCCCATAAACCTCGTAGGAAGGTAAAAGCCCAATAGTTGCTGACAAGCTCTGGCTTCACTGGGTAGTTCCCATCTAACAATCTGGGCATACCACTGGGATTAGTACCTTTTCCACACTGCAGCACTCACAGATGCTGCAGCCCCAACAATAGCTGTTTATTTGGGAGCAGCTCTCAGCAGCACTGTTTTCTCCAGCACACACAGCTGGGACCCAGCAGGATTTGGGACCAGGCTGTCACAACACACAAACAACATCCCTGCAGGCAGGGAGTGGGGGGATAAGCAGCCAGTCATTTCTGTGCCTTCCTGATTACACCTTCTGGAGGAAAAAAGGTCCTGAGCACAAACCCCATGCTGAAATGTTGCTGTGCTCCCAGCTGAGTTATCACAGAGCTGCGGGATGTGCCCGTGGAGCAGCCTGGAGCTGCCTGCCACACACACACACACACGTGGCAGATACCACCAGCCTGGCCAGATAACATCCCTATCTTTCATAACCAGCTGGGTATTGCAGGCTCAGTGTTGCAACGAGCTCTGAGCAGAAGTGAGATAAGGCTGCTCTCCCCAACTGGGGCGTGCAGATTCTCCCCGGGGTGTTACGAGCCTGTGGCAGCTGTGCTGATGCTCAAGATCTGCCCCACACTGGGGCAAGGCACTGCAATTTGTGGTCCCTCGAGCTTCCCTGAGATATTTCAGTCATTAGGATGAGATAATGGGACCCTCAGAAAATGAATGTCAGAGATTCTAATTTGTGTCTTTTGGGGATCCAAAGTGTCTCTCTCACACAGCAGCTGCTACAACTACCACAGCAACACCTTTAGGTTTATTTTCAACAGGTGAATCGAGCTTATGCAAGAGCTGGGATGCAGATGAACCCTGTGAAGTGATACCTGGATATCAGGTATCATGTGAAGAAACACAGGAGCCACAAAGCTGTAATGTCCTGCAGATCCAAGGATACACTGCCACCTCAGCGTTCAGGAGCCAGAAAAGTGCCAGCCAGACTGCACCCCCTAAAAGATAAAAACAACCCAGGGCCACAGGCTGCTGGTAAGCAACAGTAAGTTTGAAGAGGGAGGATGTTTGTGTATGATGCTTCTCCTGCAGAGTGAGACCCATCCCTACCTTCACCCTGCAATCTGCCTTCCTACACTAATTAGAGAATTCTAATTAGGAGGTGGATTTTGTTTGCTCTCATTCCAGGTGCTGCCAACCCATGTCCCCTCCCAGCACATTCCCCACGACCCACCAGCTTCCCCGAATCCATCGTTTCCTTGAGCCGCTTGCCCAGCTCGGAGCCCGAGGCCACCATGGCCCGCAGCATGTCACCGGTAGCCAGGTGGCACACGCAGTAGGTCTCGGCCAGCTTCGGCGCCTGCAGAAGAGGACAGAGGTGACATGGGACCTGGGAGACGGAGGATCCCCACCCCGGCGGGGCCTTGTCCCCGTCTCGCGGCAGGGGGACAGTCGTTGAGCGGGCAGCACGTGGCAGGGCCCGGCACAGAGCCCCGGTGCTCAGCGATACCGGCTCCCCGCGGCCGGCCCTAGCCCGGGACAAAGGGACCCGGGACAAAGAGCCCCGGCGAGCGGGCCCCCGGAGGCGGGATACGAGCGAGCCCCCGTGGAAGGGAGCCCCGGGGCCACACGAACACAGCGCACCGCCCGGTTCCTCCGCGGGCGACGGAAGGCGGGACACCCGCGTCCCTCCGCGCGGGGGTCACCCGCTGACTGCCGCCACTGGGGAAGGCCGGGCGGGCCGCTCCCGCCGGCCGCTCCCGCCCGCATCGCCCTCACCTGCGTGCCCTTGCCGGCGCCGGGCGGGCCCAGCAGCACGGCGCGGATGCCGTGGCGGATCCCCGCGGCCGGGGCCTGCCCGCGGCCGCTCCCGGCCTGCGCGCTCGGAGCCATGGCCGCCGCCGACTGCGCGCCCGAGCCCGGCCTAGTGGGCGGGGACAGCGTCGGTGGGCGGGGTTATGCAAATGAGGAGCGGGAATAGGCGAGCGCCCGCGCGCGTTTCACCTTGAGTGGGCGGGGTTATGCCGGAAGTGGGCGTGGTCAGACCTCGGTGGGCGGGGCTTTGCTGCGCCACGTGGGTCGCTCGGTGTCGCCGCGCTTGCCCCGAACTGTCCCCAAGTCCCGGGCGCTGCTGAGGCCGCGCCTCGAGTGCTGCGTTCAGTTCTGGGTCACTCAGTTCGAGAAGGACACTGAGTTGCTGGAATATGGCCAGAGATGGGCAACGAGGGTGGAGTACAAGTCTGATGAGGAGCGGCTGAGGGAGCTGGGGCAGCTGAGCCGGGAGAAAAGGAGGTTCAGGGGTGACCTTATCACTCTTTGTATCTACCTGAAGGAATTTGGAGCCACGTTGGGTTGGGGTAGGGCTTCTGTCCCAGGCAGCTAGTGACAGGACAAGAGGAAAGGGGAGAGCTGCGCAAGGGGAGGTTTAGGTTGGACATTAGGAAGAATTTCTTCACAGGAAGATTAGACATTGGAATGGGCTGCCCGGGGACGTGGTGGAGTCACCACCCCTGGAAGTGTTTAAGGAAAGACTGGACGTGGCACTTGGTGCTGTGGTCCAGTTAACACAGTGGTGTCCAGTCACAGCTGGACTTCGTGATCTCAAAGATTTTTTTGAACCTAATTGATTCTGTGATTCTGAGCTGTGCTTGCCCTGGCGCTGTGTGGGATGGGCTCAGTGCCCTGCTCTGCGTGGGCTGTGCATCACAACATTGCCCAGTGCATCCAGGAGGGACTGCAGGGCTCTGCTCTCCCAGCCTTTCTGCATGATCCCCACATCCCACACAGCACAGTCCAGTGCTGGTGATGGGCCAGATCACAGGCAAAACCAGCCAGGATCTCACAGCAGACAAGAGCTTCCTTGGCCCTGGTTGCCAGGGGAGTCTGTGGCAAAGCCAAGACCACAGTGTTGAATACAGAAACCCAGGCTAAGTCAGTCCTTTTCACTCCCTGCCCAGTGGGGACAGCCACCCCTCCACAGACAGAACATTGGCTCCTCAGCAACACCAGAGAGGGACCTGCACGTTTAACAAGAGTTAAAATATCCCTGCTGAGCCCATCTCATTTGTGGCACCATTTCTGAGATCCAGGTCTCACGGATCAGACAGAGCAGCTGCATTGATGGCAGAGCTGGATCTGCTGCTGAGGCACCCACCAAAACCAGCAGCAGCTCAGCAAAGGCAGCATCAGTCCCTGACATCTTCCCAACTACCTCCCTCTCTCCGGAGTCCCAGCCAAACACCACTCAGCCTTTAATCTTCAGGAAGCCTGGTTTCCCTGGCAGCAGCATTTCTGAGGTATTTCGGGCTCTCTTTCCCCCGCAGGTTGCGCAGCCGCGGGAAGCGGGGCTGGGCTGCCAGGCTGGGGATGAGCTGCGGGGACTCGGTGCCAGCCCGGAGTGACTGCAGGGGGCAGCCCCAGCCTTGGGAAAGGGTGGGCGAGGAGGGGGAGCGTTCTCCAAAAGGGATGAAGGATGCTCGGAGGCGGCTCAGCCAAAGGGGTGGCTGGATTTGGTTGTCACGGCTACAGTTGGGAGGCAGAGCAGGGAGGCAGTGCTGGAAGAGAAGGGGTGCAGAGCCCCCCCATCCTCTGCAGGGGCTCAGGGCAGGCAGGGAGCTGGGGCAGGACAAACAGCTGGCCCTGGGGCCGGTTCATTCTCTTGGGAGATCCATGGCAAAATCTATTTAAATGCCTTCTGAGGTAAGGGGGCTTTGAGGAGGGCTGTGGGAGAGCTGTTTTGCCTGGCACGGTGAGAAGGGAGCTGTAAAGGGCCTGTGGTTGCTGAATTTGGGGATGGGGGTGAAGGGCATTGTGCTGTCAGTGCTTCTCCCTCTTTAAATCCCTGAACTGCTTCTCCCCAGAGAGCCTGGACCCCCAGGCAGAGCTACACCTCAGGCTGCCGCAGGAGCTCGGCATTCCTCGGGGAGCCCCCCTGACAGCACACCAGGGCACCTGGGAGAGACAACTGGACTGTGGTAAGGAGGGCATGTCCGAGGCTGGGGCATGAGTTCTGACAGGAGTGACCCATTCCATCCCTTCTGTGCCTGACCAGTGTGGGCTGGGTGCTGTTTGGTGATGTGGAGTGAAGGGTAAAGCTGGAGGAGCTGCTCTTCTTTCCTGGTTATGAAACTGTAAGAGCTTCAAAACATTTTTTTTTATACCATTCCCCGTCTCTGGAATTGGCTGGTGGTGCTTGCTCAATGCATTACAACATCCAGGGTCAGTGTGGTCTTTCTCCCAGTGCCCCCTGGAATGCTGTCAGGAGGTCTCTGTGGGGAAGCTCCAAGAAATGAAACCTCTGCCTCCTGCTCACTTCAAATCAGAGAGATCATGCTCCTGGAAGAGCCCTGGAGCTAGGCCTGGGTTATTGGGGTGGAAATGTTCCCTGCTAGCTCTTCAGTTCCCTGGATTATGGGCCAGGCTGGATCCAGCTAAGGGTGAGAGCTCAAAGCTAAAGCTCTGCTAGGATGAGCCAGAAAACTCAGTGCTGCTGAATTGTGCCCTTGTTCCACACCGTGTGTCACGGGAGAGCCGTGGAACTGCATCCACAGCACGGATCCAGGTTGTCCTGAGGTTGAATGGTGTCAGTGAGTGGCCTGTGCTGTGCCTCCCTTGTCCTCAGGCTTTCCCCTGGGAAAGTGGGTCCAGGAGACTTCAGCTATTTGGGATCCACACGGGATGTTCACCTCATTGAACAGATAGAACATCCAGCTGCATTCCAGAACGTGAAGGGGCCTGTCCTGGCCTAGAAAGGGATCTCTGCTTTTTGTGGCTTTGTTGTTGACTGTGCTGGTGCCTGCTGATGGAGACAAGGCTGCTGTGTGCCAAAACAGAGCTCTGAACTGCAGAGAAATGTGTCTCCTCCCCCGGGGAAGATGCTGTAACCCGCAGCAGGGCTCTGCTGAGCTGCTGGTTTGGAGCAGAGCAGCACAGAGCTCTATCCAGAGGCACCCCGGGCTGTGGGCTGGGTGGTCCATGCTGATGGAGCTTCTGGACCCTTCCTCTAATATTCCTTTTCTTTTAAAAGTGTGTCTCATTAGAATCCATCCCCTAATCCAAGAGGCTTTAAACGAGCATCAGCACACCCAGAACACCAGACCATGAACGGGTACTTGAACGAATCCAACTTCCTGATGGTGGAGGAGGGCTTCACCACCCGAGACCTCCTGGAGAACCTCCTGGGGGAGCTGTGCCAAGAGGTGAGGGCTGATGCTCTGCTGCTGCCTTTGGAAAAGGCTCTTCTGGAGCTGCTGCTCACTTCAGCTGTCTCCTAGAGCGACCAGCAGGCCTTCTTTGTGGCAGACCTTGGGGACATCGTGAAGAAACACCTGTGTTTCCTGAAGGCCTTGCCCCGAGTGAAACCCTATTTCCCAGTTAAATGCAACGGCAGCGAAGGGGTGATTGGGCTGCTGGCAGAGCTGGGGGCAGGATTTGCCTGCGCCAACAAGGTAGGACTGTGGGAGGACAGCTCCAGGGGAAATGTTTGTGGGGGAGTGGCAGAGCTCACCCTCATTTCCTCAGTCTCTGCTCTAGGTGACATTTACAGGGGCAGGAGTCTCCCTCTGCTGTCACAGCCCAGAAATCCTTGTCCCCTCTGTGTTGTTCCCTTTGGCTGACATTCCCGGCCCCGGAGCTGCTGTCCTGCCTGGTGGCTCAGCACATCCCTGGGGTGCCACTGCCACAGCTGGCCAACTCTTGGTGTCCTTAGGGCTGAGCCTAAAGCTTTTTGCTCCTTCCTGCTTGTCATTTGCAACAGTCAGATTTCCAGGGAGGAGCTAAAATTAAATCACTTATTTTTATGTAATTAAATAGGATGTGTTTCCAGGAGGAGAAAGTACAGGAGTTGTCACAGCTCAGAGTAGGGGTCAGCCCCAGGCCTGCTAACCCCACTTGTTTCTTCTCCCATTCTCATGGTGTTTTTAAACCTGTCCATGCCAGGACAAAGTCCACTGTGATCCCTTTGAGCTCTGGTATCTTTTCCCTGGAAAAGCCCAGGCTGCAAGGCTGGCGCTTTGCCCTCCTCAGCACTGCAAGCAGGCCAAGACCCAGAGCTGGTGGCTGGTGCACACCCATCTCCTGGGGACCTGCTGCACATGTCTCCTTCTCCCTGCAGGCAGAGATCACCCGTGTTCAAAACCTTGGGGTCCCAGCTGACAGGATCTTCTACAGCAGCCCCTGCAAGCAGGTCGCTCACATCAGGTACGCGGCCAGCCACGGCGTGAGGCTGATGGCCTTTGACAACGAGGTGGAGCTGAGCAAGGTGGCCAGGAGCCACCCCCGGGCCAGGTGGGTGTCTGGCAGTGCCACCAGCGTGGGTGCTGGAGGAGGGGATGGGCAAGGGGCTGTGGGGGGCGAGAGGAGGTCGTACAAGGTTGGTGTTGGTGTCTTCTCTCAAGCGATAGGATGAGAGGAAATGGCCTCAAGCTGTGCCAGGGGAAGTTTAAATTTTAGATCTTAGATTTTAGATTTTAGATTTTAGATTTTTTTAGATTTTTTTTGGATTTTTTTAGATTTTTTAGATTTTTTTTAGATTTTAGATTTTTTTTTAAATTTTAGATTTGTAGATTTTAGATTTTAGATTTTAGATTTTTTTAGATTTTAGATTTTAGATTTTAAATTATAGATTGTAGATTTGTAGATTTTAGATTTTTTTAGATATTTTTTAGATTTTCGATTTTTTTAGATTATACATTTTAGATTTTAGATTTCAGATTTTAGATTTTAGATTTCAGATTTCAGATTTTAGATTTTAGATTTTTAGATTGGATATGGGGAAAAATTTGATCACTGAAGGGGTGATCAGGCAGTGGAACAGGCTGCCCAGGAAAGAGATCATCATCTCTGGAAACGTGTGAAAAACTTGCAGATGTGGTGCTCAGGGACATGATTTAGTGCTGGACTTGGGGTAAATATTTGGACTCAGGGATCTTTGAGGGCTTTTCCAGCCCTCAAAGGCTTTTCCTTACATGATCCCGTTATTCCAAGACCCCTCAGCACAGTGTGGCTTTGTGGTGCAGGATGTTGCTGGGGATCACTGCTGACTCCATCCCTTGTGCCCACCCGAGCATGACTTTTGGGACCACGCTGAAATCCTGCCGTCACCTGCTGGAGACAGCGAAGGAACAGGCTGTGGAGGTTGTTGGCATCAGGTACAGCCGTGGGCCTTCTTCCATAGGGGTGCTCATCCCCTCTGGATTGGGATCTGGGCAGCTCTGCCCTGCTGGAACAACGCAGTTGTGCTTGGGAGTGAGGTGAAGGCAGGGATTTGACCTTGTTGGGACCAATATTTGGGGCAGGTCTGACCCTGAGAAAGGCTCTGTGGGGCTCTGGATGGTGTGTGGGACGCTGCCCCCAGCGAGTGACAATCCCAGTGCCGTGTCCCCTATGCTCTGGGGATGATCAAACCCTGCTGAGACGGGGTCTGTGCCCTCAGCTTCCACCTCGGGAGCCGTGTGCTGGAGCCGCAGGCCTTGGCCCAGGCTGTGGCCACAGCACAGCTGGTGTTTGACGTGGGCACGGAGCTGGGACACCACATGCACCTCCTGGACATCGGGGGGGGGTTCCCCGGCACCGAGGACACCACAGCCCTGCTGGAAGAGGTACAAACCTCCCAACACCCGCTCCCAGCAGGCAGAGAATGAGCTTGGGAGCTCTCCCCAGGTCTGGCTCCCTGCAGAGTTCCCAGCTAACCAAGAGGAAGGTTCATTTTCTTCCCTCCCAGATGGCTGTGGGGATAAACTCTGCCTTGGATTTGTACTTCCCCGAGGGCAGCGGGGTGGACATTGTTGCCAGGCCTGGGCGTTACTACGTCACCTCTGCCTTCACCTTGGCTGTCAGCATCACTGCCTTGGAGGAGATCCCCATGGAGCAGCCTGGCTCTGACGGTAGGTGTGACAGCAGGATGTGTCCCCCGTGTCCCCGAGCTCCCCTGAGCCCTCAGAGAACAACTTCTCTTCCCAGAGGAAGAGTGTGGCAGCAAGAAGAACCTGGTGTATCACCTCAGTGACGGCATCTACGGCGCCTTCAGCTGCCTCCTGTTCGACAGCCCCTGCCCCAGGCCTCGGCTGCACAAGGTGAGGGGCTCACCTGTCCTGGGGTGTCCCTCACATTGGGTGGCATCACCTCAGCCAACACCCAGCTGTACCCAGTCCTTGAGCTTCTGAGGTCACCGTGCCACCGGGACATCCTCATCCCTGTGTCTGCTCCGTGTTTTTCCCACAGAGACCCTGCCCAGAGCACCCCTGGCACAGCAGCAGCCTCCGGGGCCCGCCGGGTCACGCCGAGGATCGCATCGCTGACGGGCTGGAGCTGCCCCAGCTGCACGTGGGGGACTGGCTGGTTTTTGGGAACATGGGAGCCTACACCATGCCAACATCACCCCTGCTCACGGGGGGTCCCCAGCCACACGTCACCTACGCCATGTCCCGCATGGCCTGGTAAGAGATGGGCAGGGTGAGAGGGCAGGATGCTGTGAGAGGTGCTGGCTTCTCTTCCACATGGGCTCTTGGCCCAAGGGAGAGGGGGAAATATGAGTTCCAGAATGTGGAAATTCAGGGTAAAATCATGGCCTCAGAGGCAAAAATCGTATTTTTTTAATATTATCAAACTTGAGCCAGTTTTTTGCTGGAGAAAAGAGAGCCAAGCTCACCTCTGGCTGTTGTTCTTGGGGACAGGAGAGCTCTGGAGTGTGCCCTTCCCTGAGCCCATCCCATTTTCAAGGGGCTGCTCGTTCCCCTGGCTCCCTCTTGGGTGTCTCCACTTGCAGGAAAGCTGTCCAGCTCTTCCAGGGAAAGCCACCCCAGACAGAAGAGGATCGTGAGAGCCTCTGCACCCCCCTGTCCTGCGGCTGGGAAATGGCAGAGACACTTTGTGTCACCCCTGTCTTCGCTCCAGCTGGCATCATCTGAGCAGTGCTGGAGGAGAAGGAACCACTGTGGGAGAGATCCTGTGGTGGTACTGGCAGGGGAAATGTCCCATAATGGTATTGGAATGGGAAAAATCCCATGGCAGCACCAGGGGAAAACGTCCCACAGTGGTACTGGAGGGATAAAAACCCTACAGTGGTACCAGAGTGGGAAAAGTCCCATGGCAGTACCAGAAGTGATGGCACCAGAGGGGGAGGATCCCGTGGCAGTGCCAGGGAGGGGGAAGGTGCCATCCTGCCGCTGGCATCGCCCTGCTCCGTTCTCATGGACCTGGAAGTAAATCCTGTCCCATAAATCCTGCTCCTCCAGCTTGTGCAGTGTGCGTGCCTCCCAAAGGGGTTTGGCAGGTTTGGGCTCTGTGTTTAGGAGTGATGGTGATAATTGGTAGCCCAATGAGGCTTGAGGGGTCAGGTGAGGAAGCCCCCGGCTCTTCCTCCCCACCCTGTGCCAGAGGTGCTGGAGAATCTCTCTGCAATCAGCATTTAATGAGGCTTTGCTCATTAGGGAAGGTGGGGCCATTCACCCTGACGCTGTTGAGGTGTCCAGAGGGACCCCTGGGATTTTGGGAGGGCACGGAAATAGGGGGTGTGTTTAGGTTTTTGGGGGGACACTGGGGAGAAGACCTGGGCATTGTGGCATCTCCCTGGTTCCTGAGGTCTCGTCAGCCCTCACCAAGGCTCCTGCCCTGGGTACAGCCCTGTGAGACCCTGAAGGGCAGGAACTGGGAGAACTGGGAGCACTGGGAGGACCCTGGATCATGGGAATGGGATGCACTAGGAGTAATGGGACACTGGGTGACACTGAGATGGAGGCACTGGGAGCACTGGGGAGGGCAGGGTGCATTGGTCAGATCAGCCTTGGGGACTCAGAGAGGGCACTGGAAGGACACTTGGGGAATTGGGAGGACTATACTGGGAGGACACTGGGAGCATTGGGAAGACACTGGAGCACTGGGAGGAGAACAGAGGAAGGACACTGGGAAGGCACTGGGAGGAGAACAGAGGAAGAACACTGGGGCACTGGGAAGGCACTGGGAGGACACTGGGGCACTGGGAGGAGAACAGAGGAAGGACACTGGGAGGGCACTGGGAAGGCACTGGGGCACTGGGAAGGCACTGGGGCACTGGGAGGACACTGGGAGGAGAACAGAGGAAGGACACTGGGGCACTGGGAAGGCACTGGGAGGATATTGGAGCACTGGGAGGACATTGGAGCACTGGGAGGGCACTGGGAGGAGAACAGAGGAATGACATGAGCACTGGGAGAGCACTAGGAGCGCTGGGAGGGCAGTGGGAGGGCACTGGGAGGGTACTGGGAGCGCTGGGAGAGCATTAAACACCGTGGCCGCCAGGGGGCGCTATAACGCGCGCGGACCGGGGAGGGCTCTGCCCGTGTTCTCCTCCCAGCCGTAAAGCGTGCCGCCGTGCCGCCACATCGGTTGCGCTTGACGGCGGGAGCGTCGCGAAAAGCCCGTGAAGGACGGCGGCGGGCCCGTGAGGGGGGGCGGCGGTGTCGGCGGCGCGACAGCGCTCGTGTCGCGACAGGAGCGCAGCCATGCCGTTCTGGGAACTGCAGAAGAAGCTGGGCATCGATGTGGACAGCTGGCTGTTGCGGCAGAGCATGCCGCAGCCGCACGGCCAGGCCGCGGTCTGTCACGCCTTCGAGCGCGAGTGGGTGGAGTGCGGGCACGGGCTGGGCCAGACCCGCGCCCGGCGCGAGTGTCAGCTCGAGTACGAGGATTTCATGGAGTGCATGAAGCGCACCAAGCTGGTGGGTGAGCGGGGGAGCACCGCGGGGCCTTGGGGGGACACGGGGGGCGCGGGGGTCTGGAGGGTCCTGACAGAGCGGAGGGCAGCAGGTCCGGGCTGAGGGGACTCGAGGTGCTGCCTCAGGGTAGGGAGAGGCTGCAGAGGGTCCTGGCCACGCTCTGGGGGAGGTTTGGGGACTCCAGCCCGGGGTGGGAGCGCACCCTGGTCATTCCCAGTGTGAGGGGGGGGGTCTGGCCCTGCAGCAGCCCCTTCCCCGAGGGCTGCGGTGGCTGCAGGACCCCGAGGAGCTGTGACTGCCCCATTCCTGGAGGTGTTCCAGGCTAGGCTGGAGAAACCTGATTAGTGGAAAGTGTTCCTGCCCATGGAGGTGGGGCTGGGTGGGATTTTAGTTCCAACCGAAGCATTCCGTGTTTTGGGGCAGCGCCGAGCAGAGCTTCCTCCCTGTCCCCAGCGCTTCTCCAGCAGCATCCACATCCAGGACAAAATCCTGGTCAGAAAATTGGGCTGGAAACCCAAATATCAATCCAGAACATCCTGAGAGCCTCAAAGTCTTTGAGAAGAGCCTCAAACTTGAGCGAGGAGCCCCTGGGCGGGGTTAGTGTGGGTTCCACGTCTGTGGGGTTGCCAGGACCTGCCTTGGGGACCCCCCGAGGGATCCCTGAGACCCCTCTGTGACCCTGCCAGGCTCAACGGCTCCGGATCATCTTGGAGCAGCGGGACAGGATGATCAAGCAAGGGAAATACACACCCCCCGACTACCACATGGGCAAGGAGGAGCCCAGGCCTTGATTCCCACTGGAATTCCTCTTGGAAGAAAACCCCCAGAGCACGGGGCAGGGGCCCTGCTGTGGCTGGAGGGAAACAACCTCAGGTCGGGCAGTAAATATCCCTTTGGAATGTCTCCTTGGCTCTGTCTTGTCTTTATTTTTTGGGGGAAAAACACTTCATTTCCACAGGGATTCAGAGTGGAAGTGGATGGATTTGGGATCTCTGCTGTCTTTTCAGCGCGTGGGAGGCAGATTTCCTCACTGGGGGCTTTGAAATCCCATATGCCAGCAGGATCCATGGAGTCCCTGGCACAGCCCAGGGGGTTTGTCCCTCCCAAGGAGAGTTTTTCCTTCCATTCCCTGAAAATTCCCTCAGTTTTGGAACAGCGCTGAAGCAGGTGAGTCCCTGGAAGTGGAGAGTGGCCAGCTCTGTGCTTTAATCCATGTTTTTAATGCTGCTGGTGGCAGAGTTAACGCTGGATCTTTGCTGTGAGATTCCTGATCCCAGCAAATCCCTCTGCTGGGATGACAAAGGCTGAGCCCAGCATGACCTCCGGGGGCAGGGACATTCCAGGAGGGACATTCCAGACCCCTGCCATGGCCAGAGAGGGATCTGTGCTGTTCCTGGGGCATGAATCCCATGGTGGGCACAGGAGCCCTCCTGGAGAGGAATCTCATGGATTCCTGACTCCAGGCAGATCCTGGGATTGCTGTGCCCTTGGATATGAAGGATCACAGCTGGATGCTGGTTTGGGGGGCTCTGAGTCACCCCAGGGTGTCCAGGGCAGGGATCTGAAGCAGGAGAGCTCCGTTATTTCCTCCAGAAGGCCTTCCCTGGATTCCACAGGACATCTGGTCTCTCAGGAGCCATCCCAGCAGGGTTTGAGCTTTTGCTGAGATTTCTGCTGCTCCTCATCCAGCCCCTGTCCCTCAGCTCTCCCCAAAGCAGCCTCCCCAAGCACTGGCCAAGCTTTCTCCCTTCCCCCAGGCCCAGATGGATTCCCTGCGCTCCAGCTGAGTCACGATTCTCCCTGGCAGGGTGGCACTGGGGGAGGGTGGCCCTGGAGAGCTCCAAATTCCCAGTCTGGGTTCAAATCCTCTGACCCAGAAACACATCCATGACCCAGGCCTGGCTCTTCCCTGTGTCTGCCTTTGTTTGCCACTCCTGATCCCCTCTCTGCCATGTGTGTTCCCTCTGTTTTAGATAACTCTAGGAATAATGTCCTTTTAAAAATTTTTTTTTGCATCAATTTTGATATTTTTCCCCCCACTTCCTGCCTAAAGCAGGAATAACTGACCCAAGACCCCATCCTGTCTGGGTCCTGGCTAATTCCTGGCTGTCCTTGAAGTAACTGATGGAGACTGATAATCCTCAGGGATTCTGGTTGCTGCTTTAAATATGTAAACTCTGGTCATGATGAGTTTGAGCAGAGGAAAACCGATAGCAGGATATCAGTGCTCCATGGATCCCAACATTCCAGCTGTAAAAGTGGGCAAGGAGGAGCTCTGAGGAGGGAAACACAAAGAGAACATGGGAGCCACGTGAGGAAAAGGGAATGGAGTCAGGTGGAAAGGGACTGGGGAGGCAATGGAGCTGCCAGAACAAATAAAGGATGGATAAAGAGGGAAAATTGTGCTGGGGATGGAAATTGAGTGGTGCTGCGGAGCCATCAGAGTTATTTATCTTCAGGGAATTGTCCTGGGGGGATCTGGGGAGGAGGAGGGAGGGAGGGAGGGGATGGCACTGTGGATGGAGGATGTGGGGACCCACATGGAACACACAGAAAGTCTGAGGCGGCTGAGCTATCCAGGAGCTGATTCCTCACCAAGCCACACTTCAATTCCCCTGGGTTTCACCCATGGATGGAAATTTGGGACGCAGAGCCAGCCAGGAGATCAAATCTTCATGAACCTCCACACTTGCAGTCTCTCGTTATGGATGATGATTAATTATTATCAATTATCCTTCCCTTTCCCAAAGAGATGTGCACTGGTGGAGGCACCGGGAATGCAGAGGAGAGTTTTCTGCTCAGTGGCATCACAACTTCCTCCCAAGCTGGATGTGAGGGCTGGTGGCACCTGGAGCCATGTAGCAGCACGGGCCACTGCTCCCAGGAATTGCTGTTTTGGGGGAAAAAAACCCTGTTTTGATTCAGAAGTGTTGCTTTTCCAGGGAGAGGATGGAAAAAAAACGGGCTCAGCAAAAAGCCTGACAGCTCGCTGATGTTGGGAGTGACTCATCCCGTGGAGCAGCCCAGATGTCAGAGGAAATATTGGGATTCATCCGAATGCTCCTGGCTCCCAAGTGGCTCTTTAGATCCGTGCAGAATCTAATTGCTCCAGTGATCGGCGTTATCGCAGCCAAGGGCGTGCGGGGAGCAGCCGCAGCCGGCGGGATCCATTTGCTTGAGTTAAAAGCTCTGTCAGGAATTTCAGCCGATAAAGGGAATAATCAAAGACCTGATGAAAACGATCAAATTCATGGAGAGATTTAAAAAAACGCCTCTTGGCTCTGCTGGGAGGAGACCAAGGTCGAGGCTCTGGCTAAGCAGCAGGGACTGAAAATGGATCCAATGCTCCTGCCTGAGTTCCCCTGGGCAAAGGGACTTGGAGCATCCTCAGCTCCACAGTGTGGCTCACCACGAAGCCCTGAACGGGATCCATATCCAGCCTGGAGTAGTTCCAAATTTATATTTCGCTCTTTGCCTTTTTTGTCACTTTTTTGGCATGGGGTGATGCCACATCCTGGCTGGGTGGGAGGCAC